TCAGTGTCATCAACAACATCACCACCAACATCACGAAAAACAACAGCAACAATCACTACTCCTGCAACTACTACTACTACTACGACGACGACGACGACGACTACTACTACTACTACTACGACTACTACCGCTGCTATTATTACTATTTCTACTGTTATTCTATTATTATTAGTATTACTACAACAACAACAACAACTACTACTACGACGACTACTACGACTACTACTTCTACTTCTACTTGTATTTCTACTTCTACTTCTAGTTCCATTTCTACTATTATGACGACGACGACGACGACGACTACTACTACTGCCACCACCACAACTACTACAACTACTACAACTACAACAACAGCTACTAGTGCTATTACTACTCCTACTCCGACTCCTTCCTACTCCTACTCCTACTCCTACTCCTGCTCCTGCTACTGCGACGACGACTACCACTAGCACTTCCACCACCGCCACCACCACCACCACCACCACCACCACCACCACCACGACCACGACCACGACCACGACTACCACTACCACCACCTCTAGAGGGAGGGAGGGAGGGAGGGAGGGAGGGCAGTACTTCAGTACTACTACACTACGTCCCCATTAGGGCGCCTACATCCTCCAGCCGGTAAAAACCTCATACTCATACCATGCCGATCTTGTAAGACTCATGCCCCTGTATGATCGGAAATCAGAACATCTTCGTTTCTGGGCTTCGCGCCAGGTCGCACGATGACGGTGGGGAGCCTTGCCGTGCGACCGTCTATGAAGCTCTTCCTGCCGGAGAGCGCTTTCGGTCCCAGAAGCATGCTGTTACGGGTACGTGAGTTCACGACCTAGGACTTAAGCCCAGCAATATGATTTTGCAAACACCGTTCAGCCAAAAGAAGTGTCACGGTTCTGGACCACAGAGGTGTCACAGTGTCACATCAAGCACGGCCTGGTATAGTCGTTCACCAATAGTTCGCACACCGCCTTGGTCATGCCATAAGTATTCTTTGGGACGATCTTGTCCGTGTCACCTTCCAGCACGCACGGAAAAGCAAGCATGGCCTTGCAACTTGAGTTCGCTGGAGCTTGGATCAGGAACGAGTGCCACAACCGAGTGCCAACGGGTTCACAGCGCAGAAATGCGATCTGCACTTCGGAAACCATATCAGCGCACCCACAGCAAGCATAACGGTCGCCTATGGCTCGTCCTTGTTCTCCGTATGTCCTGGCATAGCTTGCCACCACGACAGTTTTACTCTGCGTGTGTGTGTGTGTGTGTGCGTGTGTATGCACCTGGGTATGTCGGAACATGTGTCTGTGTACGCATGTATGTATGCATGCAATGCATGAACGAAGGTATGTCTGTATGTATGTATGTAAGTAGGTAAGTAGGCAGGCAGGTAGGTAGGTAGATGGGTGTGTATGCAAGGGTGCATGTATGTAATCAGGTACGAATACATGTGAGATGTAAGTGCAAAAACACAAATATACGTATTTACAGTGATATGTTTATATTTGAAGCTAGCTAGATAGATGATGGGTGGGTGGATAGATAGATAAATGGATGGATGGATGGATAGATAGACAGACAGAGAGATAGATAGATAGACAAAAAGATACATTTTGACTTTGAAGACGCAGCATCCGAAGAAACTATGCGGTGAGTGGCAGGCTGTTGCCACAAGATAGATAGATAGATAGATAGATGGATAGAAAGTATCGATAAATAGCCAAATAGGTAGGTAGCTCAATAGCTTTGGATGCAGATAAGCAGGTAGAGATACAGATGTTGAGAGGGAGTGTAGGTTGTATGCAAATTATGAAGCTGTATATGTATATATATACATAGATACATAGATACATAGATATATGGATAGATAGATAGATAGATAGATAGATAGAGAGATAGACAGATAGATCGATAGATCGATAGATCGATAGATCGAT